ATTAATTGTTAATCAGTCTATAATCTAATTAATCTTCAGATTAATTCATTATCAATAACTTGCATCCTTAAGGAGTTAACTTAATTTATATCTACTCATATTCATGTAATTAAGCGTTTTAATGATTTGGCCGATTAATCGAAAAAAATAATCAACCGATTAATCGATCATTAAAATAATCGTTAGTTGCAGCCCTACTTTGCATCATAGTCTATCTAAGCGCCCTGAAATTGGCCTCTGTCTCTTTAAGAACCTCCTAACATTTCGGACACTCTCACTTCAGCACGTTTTCACAACCCAGATCWATTTAGAGTTTGGGGCCAAAATAATATTTAAAGAATGAATACCTTGAGTGTCATTTGTTGTGGCACTGTTCAATTTCTTCTTCAGATCATTTGCTCCAATTTTTGGGGGCAAACGATCCTCCTAAGGATCTATTACTTTTGACAAAAGTGGAAAGAAAATTAGCTTTCGTAACTGTCAATACTAAATTCAGGGGGTTAGGAAAGTTGAATTGTATCAGATTCAGATTCTTCTTGACAAAATCAATCCTAATATGTGTCTCCATTGACTGAAAGTAGCTGTTAAACCTAAATTAACAGTAACAAACACAACACTGATTAAATTGTATTGTGGGATGTAAATAGWTAACTGCAGAACATGTTATCGTTTTCATGAGTTTTGATTCAGAAGAAATTTTTTTTAGTTTGTCAAACTGAGACAGTCTACTAGATTGGTCTAACAGGCTGTGCATTTATATTTATCTCTGCATATACACATGTTTAAATATTTCCCAGCAAATCATAATCAAAGCCATGATTTGAACATTCATGTTGAACCCACTCTGCATAGGAAAAGATTTGTCATTAAGGAAATGCTTGATAAGATGAGAGACAACTGAAGTGTCTTCAGCAATGATGAAGCATCAGCACCAGGGTCTCTTCAGCTGTAAGTGAATGAACTCTGTGACAACAAGCATATTTTTTTTGTTTTACATCATTAAGTGTTCACAATTTTCTAGGCAACAAGACCTTTTATAATTTTACACTCAAAGATAAATTATTGGTAGAAATAAAAGCAGGATGGTTAGTCTACCTGTACTGCAGGGGTGCTTGGTCTGTTAAAACCCCCATAAGCACCATAAACAGTGATGCATGTAGAGTGMGGATTATAGTTTTTGTTATACTAAACACTATTTGACTTGAAAAAAAGGAACATATAAAACCATTCTGATCCTCGCCAACAACACTTCTCGTGCTACCAACTTTCAAACAAACTACACCTTTTCTATTCGATGCTTGCCCACCCTCAACTTTGAGTTGTTTCAGCTTGATTATGCGCAACTGTTCACAGTCTGCTTCAGATGTAAATGTATAAACAAAGCCATTTAATGTTACTGTAATCACTGACTGTCTCAGTGTCTAGTGGCTGGAGATGTCTAAATATTTTGAAAATCTTATAGTTTTTTTCATTTAGTCCAAAAGGCATAAACATGTCAAAACGAGGACAAACCCAAGATTGTTACATTGCAAGTGCTTTTGTGAGTTAGCCTACTGAGCTAACCTCTTCAGTAACCAACTTAACATTAAATCTGCAGCTTTTGCTTAGTGGCATGTAAAATGATGGTTTAAATGTCATTGAATATAAATAAGACAAAGTTTATGTTATAAACTAGGGAAGCAAAGTCTAAAGCCGAAATCTCCAACCAGTAGCTCATGAGCTCATTTAAAGGGGCAATATCATGTAAAATCAACTTTTTTGAGTTTTATATCATGTTATAATGTTATACTCTCATTAAAAAACATGCACAAAGC